CGGGGCTGGCAGGGGAGATTGGGGGGAACCGGCCAGTGGGGAGCAGGGCTGGCCAGGAAGGCGTGGGGGGGAGTAGGGCTGGCTGGGGGGAAAAGCAGAGGGGAACCGGCCGGTGGGAAGTGGGGCTGGCCCGGGCGCACGCAGATCCCGGGACGCTGCTCATTATAATATCCGAATGCTTCATAAACCTTAATTTGGTGAGGGGTTCTTATAATCCCTGTTTTATAGATAAGTATGGAGAGTATAAGATCATCAGGCCTCATGGTCTCAAGTCAAGCAGCCAAAAAAATGAAGAACACTTGATTAGTTATCTGTGAAAAGGTTAGTTTACGTGACTTGCTTAGTGCCACATAGAAAGTTTTTGTAGAGATCAACATAGAATCTAATCTCTAGAGTAACATTCAGCTGCCTCAACTAAAGACCATCCTTTCTTTTCCTTCAGTCCCCTGCCTCATTCAGTACACATCTTCCACGTTTTGGGGGAAAAAAATCTGCAGTTGTCGTACAGATAATTTCCTTCAGGACACACCCTTATTCAGATCAATCCTGTGCACTGAATGAGGCAGGAATCCTGTGGAAAAATGTGACTGTAACTAGAGATATTGTCATAATGCATATGTCCAATGGGACTGAATTACATTTACACAAATACTTGACTTTTGCTTGCAACCTTGATGTTCTTGTAAAGCAAATTGCAAAATACCTAGAGATTGTATTATGTAGCACCATATTGTCACATACCTGGTTAATCAACAGGATTGTAACTCATGGATCTCTGGCACTTGAGCTAACAGAACCACTAATAGATATAGTAGATTGTCATCCTTTACGGAGACCAGCACTACAAGGTAATGAGGAACTTTGTCAATAGATTTAACGGATACCACTTTCCATTTCAATCTGTCCTTGACCCAGTTTTGTCTCTTCTCCTCCCCTGCCCAAGTTCCATTCTCCCCACCTAATCAATTCCAGTCTCCACTCCTCAGGCTTCTCATCTTAGCCTGAGTCTCCTTGCCTGGTCTTCTCTGTCCTTGTTCATGCATTCCCAGTTTCATCTCACCACCAACTCATTCCCCACAGTTTCCATGCTCAGCCAATCATAGAATCCTAGGGCTGCAAGAGACCTCAGGAGGTTATCGAGTCCCACCCCCTGCCCAAAGCAGGACCAATCCCAACTAAATCATCTCAGCCAGGATTTTGTCAAACCGAGACTTAAAAAATCTCTAGGGATGAAGATTTTACCACCTCCCTAGGAAACCCATTCCAGTACTTCACCACCCTCCTCATAAAATAGTTTTTCCTAATATCCAATCTAAGGCCCCCCACAGCAACTTGAGACCATTGCTCCTTGTTCTGTCATCTGTCACCATTGAGAACAGCCTCTCTCCATCCTCTTTGGAATCTGCCTTCAGGTAGTTGAAGGCTATCAAATCCCCCCTCACTCTTCTCTTCTGCAGACTAACAAGCCCAAATCCCTCAGCCTCTCCTCTTAGGTTATGTGCTTCAGCCCCCTAATCATTTTGGTTTTGCTGGATCCTATCCAATGCATCCACATCCTTTCTGTAAGGGGGGGGGGGGGGGGCAGAATT